CAGGTACCAACCATCATTCCCTTCAAAGGAAATGATCATGCTGTGGGGAAAAAACGCGGGTTACCGAAATGATTTCACTTTGTAGTGTTTTTTTGACGCCAGTTTCTACAAGTTGCCATTTTTTCGAGAAAAATGTCATCTAGCGCTAATGTTAACAAATCGACCACACCCTGTTAGAATATGGGTGCGACAAGTTGACCGGCCGCACCCTTTGAACATCATGCGTCAAACCGAAGCAACTTTTAGCGACCGACCGGGTCTGTATTCTCCAATAAAAGCGCGTGGTCTCTTCCGGTTCAATTGATCAAAGTGAAGTACAAATCGAGGAAACACTGGTCTGTCACTGCCTTACGCAACGGCTGCAAGTAGAGAACACACTCATCATGATCTCTGTGCAATGTCACTAAAACGGAACAAAGTGTCTGATACGTACAAAACGGCAGGAAGTGTACCAAACGAACCACGGTGCCCTTACAGTAGTCAACTTCGGCTGACAGATTGGACAAGCAGAGGAAGAAATCAATTTCATCGGTGTGACCCAAGGTGAGTCCAGCACTGGCATCTCCCGACTAACAAATCGCCAATTTCGACTGATGCAAATGCGGACGTTCTCGATTTCGGCGAAGGCAGGCGACAGCTGGAACGGTTATTCAGTCCATTTGCGAGTATTGATCAGTATTGATCAGACACTCGTTTAAACCACTAGCCGGTTGTGTACTGCTCATGTTCCTCAATGGGGATGAAATAGCTGTACAGTAATTTGCGACTAGTTGGCATAGATTGACTTCATTTGCAGGATAAAACCTCCGTTAAAATTAGCAATGGGTTGGCAAAGTCAATAACAGTCCTCAACCGACTCATAAATAGCACCAAATCCAAGGTTTTTTCTACTTCACCTCCCAGTAGAAGTCGCTGTTTCCTCCTAAGAAGGAGGCCACTGAGAAGATTCACGGTGCGAAGATGCGAATGTCCTGAGACAAGTGGTTTTCAGAGAATTATGGGAGGAAGATGTAATGGACATTAGACTGAAAGTCATTCCACACGAAACTTGGATATGCCGCTCGATGAGGATGTCCTTAAAAGGAATGTCAGTATAGTGGGTGTACACTGCCTATTTAGTAAGAGGCTTCACTAAGGCAAGTTTCAGATGCAATAACTGATCGCAATCAATCCAGTTTTCTAGCATAGTCGTCAGATTTTATTCCTTATTCCTCTGAAACGGTTAGATCTCCTCTGCAAGCAACGTTTAGCTAGGACTGAGGCCAAATACCCTCTGGCAATTTGTGTTTCACCTCGTGACATTCAATAAGCTGAAAAACACTTTGCTTTCATGATCCACCATAACAACTGTCAAAAGCTAAAACTAAGTGGGGAAATTTGTGACTCAGGATACTGTGCTAGAAATCGCTTCCTCGTATGATAGGTTCGGCCAACTTGACCTTCGTTCAAACTGGATCCTGAAGACTTCTCATTTAGTACAGGCAATAAGTTGTCGCAAGATAGGACTTGAATCCCCATAGCAGTCTTCAGAAGGTTGACAGATGGAGGATCATAACAACCCCTTATGTATAGTAGTAATAGTGATAATTATAATAGTATGTTCCGAAAAGAACTCCTAATCAGTGCTGTATCAAACACCCATCCTGATATGAAGCTGAAAATGGGCCAATCACAACTCGAGTTCACGCCATGTTTAATTTCTTACCCGGTCTACCAGATGACCGTAGCGTCTCAAATTGAGGGGGTGAGTACAAGTAAACAGATAGGACTGGTTGGAAATCTCGGTTGAGCACATATACACAAATCCATTTAATTACTGGTGAAATTAATAATTAGCGCACACTGCTAATTGGAGTATTTCTGATGCAAACTCCGGTATATTTAGTGTAGCATCTACTTATCATGATGTGAGTCGCCATGGCAACTAAAATGCACTAAAGTTTGGCGCCAATAAAGTTAATGCTCTAAAGCTTCGTGTTTATTGGGGAAAAATGCACGTATTAGAAAACACTTCCAAGTCCTGCTGCCTTCTGTCATCAGTTCTTATCATCCGAGCTGCAAGTCTTTAGATTCATCGCTTGGTCACGTCATTCGCACTCACTAACTATAGCTTTAGATCAGTTGCTAAGACCGACAGAAACACGGCGATATCTGGGAATACTGTGCGAGATTTCCATCGTATCATACATGAAATCACACTGTACTTGGTGTGGAGACGCTTGGCCATTTTGTCACGAAACTCTTATATGTTTGTAACCGTGCTAAGGCCTTTTGCTTTGACAGGTGTTTATCGCGCAAATTCTGCAGCGCTTTATGGGATTATTGGATTCGGTTGATGTTTTCATCAGCTGAACCAGCTACTCATTAGTAGTGTAAAATCAAATGAAAGTTAACCTATCGCCTGTTAACGGTCTATTGTACTGACTCACTCGCAAACAGCTTGCCCTCCTTTACAGGGCTTGGATTCACGAGTTTCGCATTTGCATAGATTATCATTTGCGCCGTGTCGTCTGAAAACCACTTCGAATGCTTCCAAGGTGTATGCGCCGGATAACTCACGAACACACCACGACGTTTGCTCTGTCCCTATTCGTGATTCATGCGCTGGTTGTGCTCTCCCAAGTAGCTCCACATTCCCCGAAAACTCGTATACACCATGGGCGGAACTTTCCGAATGGTTCGCACAGTACAGAGAACACTAGGGTTGTTAATTTTCAAAGAGAGGGGCAATGTGGAGAACGACTGCAGTTGCTGGTTTTGTAAATGCTGGCTCAATGTTCTAAGTTCACACCGCCTAAAAAATCGAACCACGGTGAGTCATAAGTTGGGGGTTATAAGAGTTAGTTTTTAAAGCTCTTAAAAGTTTTTGCCTTGAATCCTTTAATTCTTACGGTCCCTACGGTAGTATTGAGGTGTCAGATTCTATGAAGCTCGAATAAGACTCGCCATCCTTAATTTCTGCTTCGACTATGTGGGTTTCCTTGTTACCTGGTTTGACGTTTAGTAACTAATTAGAATAGATGGGAGACAGGTTTTCCACCCGTTCTGGTGAGGTATCTTATGGGTTCCAAAGCCTAAAATATCATAACCCTTCAGTCCGTTTTAAAAATAGCTTTGTTCACATCCCTCGCAGTTTTCACGGTACAGAAACAGACTGTCAGTACTTAGCAAATGATTTAGCTGCATCACAATGCGTGCATGATGCGGAGATGTGCATGTAGGAACTAGAATAGCCTGGGCAAGACGCCACACCGAGACGCAGACACATGAAGATGAGTATGCACGAGAACTTGCTTCGCCAATCAAATTCATGCAACCCCGGCCGACCTCACTATCCAAGCACTGTGGGAGGAGATCGCTGCCCTGCATCAAGGCTTGACTTTCAGTACCATGATCGACCGATCGATAATATGTGCAGCAAATCTTGGTTCCAGTAGATGTGACCCGCTGCCAACTCATTCCGGCTTTGTGGTTTGGTATTACGCAAACTCCAACCAAGCAATGTCAGTCACCATGCTATCGCCCGCCCGTCTGGGAGAGACTCGATGGCTGAAGTGTGTTTGCGGCTCACGCGGCTGGCCCTCATCACAGTCAACAATTTTAAGTAAAAGACGAAGAAAAACAAAATTAGCGACTTTAGTTGCCCTTCTCCGGGTTAGTGAGCCACTTCGGCCCCACCGACGATCACAAATGCTGCTCCCGTGCACTTTGACTACCGGACCACTTCGAATCGAACCCGATGAGGTGCGTGCGACCAAAGATGAGTTTGAACAAAAGCCTTTTACACAATCCACAAAACGACTGCAGTTAGTTGATGACTGTATGGAAAATGAGGTCTACTCCCCCGATCAATACGTGAATCAGCACATCTTAGACTTGACTACTGGTCCCTAATCTATTGTTTTCAAAATTTGATCTGTTTTGTCTATGCAACTAGATCCTTATCACCAGGGTCACCCAAATGGCAAATTCGTTTTAGCCTATTGGCCGGAATACCATTCATTCCCACCAAATGTCTTCCATCATTTAGTCGATAAAGTCTACCATGGTCTGGAAGGCGCTGATGTCCACATAGACTATTTCCGGATGGCCAGTGACTCCATAAAGCGCCACTGCGTCCATCTTTGGAGCTAATGCATGTAAACCGAGGGGGAAGGGAGCGCAAGTTAGCTTAGAAGCGATGAGGACAGTCCTCCCAAAATTGTGGCACACTGACGGGTACTCGAAACCGGACAGCATTCTGCAACAAAGTGGTCGATCATAGAGTTATCTCATTCCAGGTGAATTGGCAACAGCTTTTCGCACCAAACTAACCAAGATGCCCCATAGAAAACAAAAAGACTGAACAATGGACAACAGAAGGCATTCGAATAATGAGTCACAAGGTAGTCTAACTCTTGTCATCAGATGGGTGTATCTCAACGTTTTTTTCCACTTTTCGGGCACGTAACTTTATCAACTGGTTGTCTTCCCTTTCCCAGCTTTCCAAATCTCGTTTGTACCATGGATCATTGCATTCTATAACGAGGTTTTGCAAATGTGTCCCAACTTTATTGATTTCTGCCGCTATCATCCGCTAACATCAGTCTAATCTGAACAAAAGGTCTGTGTAGTGTAGGAACGTCATCCTGCAATCCGTTAATACATCATAATTTTTGACACTAGTGGAGGGGAACATATGTCCCCACTAAGCAGAAAGAATGGGTGGGGTCATTTGAACTTTTTTGAATTCCGATCGAAACAGATTTTTGCAAATCAATTTTTGAGCCTACGAACTCTGCTTCGGGTTGGTGATTCGGGACTGTTTTACTTGCGTTGGAAAATACAGCAGATGTTTCCAAAACTAACATCCGGGTCCTGGTGCGAACGATCAGGTGTCTGATGGACTGGTGCACTTTCCTATTAGACACTGTTACAACGGAAACTAAAAGTACTTTGGCTGGGTCATGGATTTCGGTTGCCAGCATAGCTCTCACTCCCTCTTATTCTGCCCCCCTCAGAAACACTGCTTCTCACAAAGTGTTCTTCTGGGCGCGTATGAACAGTAAACAGAAAGAACCGAGTCTGTGCGAGAAGCTGCAAAACTGTGACATAGTGTGTCTACTCTGTAGTATTCTTATCCATATCAGTCACTCCAATGCTGACAATCACAGGCAACCTGGAATTGCTGTTTGGAATATCATCCTCTTCCTCTTCTTCTTATTCTTCCTCCTCCTCATCATCATCATCGTCATCATCATCATCATCATCATCATCATCACCAGCATTTACATCACCCAGACCGAGAAGCAGCGCTGTGTTCTCGCAAGAAAAGTGCACAGCAATTAGCATTGCGTCATTGACTTAACATCATCATCATCAAAGACAGCAACATCAGTGTCTGCACTGATGCTTCACTGCTATACAACCACAAAGTCTGTCTAGTTATATATATATATATATATATATATATATATATATATATGCATAAGTATATTG